GCCACGGCACTCACTCTAGCTCGGGCAAAAGAGCGAGACTCTGTCTCAAAAAAAAAAAAAAATCCCATATGAGAAAAGCACCGAGAGTTAGGAGCGGAAATGAATGACTTGGTTCAAGTTCTAGAGGGAGGTGTGTCTCCGTGTGGAATGGTAACAGTCTCTAGTGTGAGAATCTCATAATGAACGGTCTTTGTTGGCAGCGTGGAGGGGAAAACGCCAGGCTCTATCTGTCCCCGTGGCTGGCTGAGCGCAAGAGCCCTGGACATCAAGACCTTTCGCGCAGAGGCATCATCCAGCTCCTGGTTTTGACATCCTGAGTGTGCCATCCTGTTCAATTTCAGAAGTAACCATACGATAACTTTAAAAGCAATAGGAAGAGCTTGATAAATACGCAGCCATCTAAGTATCGCTGAATTTGACCAGGGCTGGTCTTTCATGGGGGCCAGGTTGGCAGCCACCTGTGTGGAAAGTGACTTGAAGATCCTCTCAGTCATCTCCCTTGATGGCTTGCGGGGGTCTCCATTAGATCTGCTCTTTTGGGTCACATCTTATATCTAAATGTTCCTTGCTGAAATCAAATATCTCACCTGGAAGGAGCAATACTTTAACGTATTAGTGCCTATTAATTTGTGATAGTTTATCCCATAAGCACCTGGGGGACTAAAACAGGTGAAATGGCATTTGTGCTATTACCAAGGGATTAGACAGAGGTATCATAGCTGATTCCTTCAGGGAAACTTCTAGGAAACTGAATGTCCAAATTGTTGAAAGTTTAGAACCATAAATACTAGATGCTTCTTCCATGGATGACATAGAAGACCTGACCCCTCCTTTGCTCACTCAGACGATGACCTGGTTGGCAACGAAGGCAGAGAGACAGCCAAGGGCACGTTTTCTCCACAGGCACCCACTCCACTGCCCTCGGAAGTGAAGCTCGGCTGTCTGCTTGTCTGCAGACGACGTCATGCTAACACACCCTCTGTGAGACACCATGTGCTTTATCGAACGGAGTCTGGAAGGAGAATGTTGAGGAAGAAGCCGGAGATGAAGCCTATTCCCCCACTTTCCAACTTTACCATTACCAGGTACTGTGGACCACATGTGGGTCTCTGGGCTGTTCTGTCCCTTGGCTTCTGCTGAGAAGATTCCAAAGGAAAATGAGACTTCTTCGGAAGTGTGATGAACAGCTGTCATTGCAAGTGACGGAAAACATCACTGCATTTTAGAGACGTCATCAGTGGCTACAGTGAGTTGTACAGACTCCATTTTGTCAACGACTGATCACACCCCTGAATTAACGTCTTCCCCCCTCCCCCTCCAAGCGGCCACTCCTGTGGCTACTCTTGCACGAGTGGTGCCGGCAGGACTATTTCCGTCTCAAGAGGGGCGCACAGTTATCACTGCACAGCAACCAAGTCCCCCTGACCTGCGTGGAGAACAGTTGTGTGGATACTGGGGAGATTATAATAGGT